TGTATAATACATAAGGGGGGATATGATCTCCATGTATAATACATAAGGGGGGATATGATCTCCATGTATAATACATAAGGGGGGATATGATCTCCATGTATAATACATAAGGGGGGGATATGATCTCCATGTATAATACATAAGGGGGGATATGATCTCCATGTATAATACATAAGGGGGGGATATGATCTCCATGTATAATACATAAGGGGGGGATATGATCTCCATGATAATACATAAGGGGGGATATGATCTCCATGTATAATACATAAGGGGGGATATGATCTCCATGTATAATACATAAGGGGGGATATGATCTCCATGTATAATACATAAGGGGGGATATGATCTCCATGTATAATACATAAGGGGGGGGGATGATCTCCATGTATAATACATAAGGGGGATATGATCTCCATGTATAATACATAAGGGGGGATATGATCTCCATGTATAAATACATAAGGGGGGATATGATCTCCATGTATAATACATAAGGGGGGATATGATCTCCATGTATAATACATAAGGGGGGGATATGATCTCCATGTATAATACATAAGGGGGGATATGATCTCCATGTATAATACATAAGGGGGGATATGATCTCCATGTATAATACATAAGGGGGGGATATGATCTGATACATGGTATATGATACATAATACATAAGGGGGGATATGATCTCCATGTATAATACATAAGGGGGGATATGATCTCCATGTATAATACATAAGGGGGGATATGATCTCCATGTATAATACATAAGGGGGGATATGATCTCCATGTATAATACATAAGGGGGGATATGATCTCCATGTATAATACATAAGGGGGGATATGATCTCCATGTATAATACATAAGGGGGGATATATGATCTCCATGTATAATACATAAGGGGGGATATGACTCCATGTATAATACATAAGGGGGGATATGATCTCCATGTATAATACATAAGGGGGGGATATGATCTCCATGTATAATACATAAGGGGGGATATGATCTCCATGTATAATACATAAGGGGGGGATATGATCTCCATGTATAATACATAAGGGGGGATATGATCTCCATGTATAATACATAAGGGGGGGATATGATCTCCATGTATAATACATAAGGGGGGATATGATCTCCATGTATAATACATAAGGGGGGATATGATCTCCATGTATAATACATAAGGGGGGATATGATCTCCATGTATAATACATAAGGGGGATATGATCTCCATGTATAATACATAAGGGGGGATATGATCTCCATGTATAATACATAAGGGGGGATATGATCTCCATGTATAATACATACATCACAGAGGACAAGGGGGCGCTCTTTACATCTGGAGGAAAAGAAATGTAATCTCCAAACACGGAAAGGTTTCTTCACAGTAAGAGGTGTGAGAATGTGGAATAGACTCCCTCAAGAGTTGGTTGTGGCCAGCTCAGTGGATTGCTGTAGGAAAGTCCTGGATTGTCTTTCTTGGATACACAGAATATAACTGGATATAACATTTATAGGTAAAGTTGATCCAGGGAATATCCAATTGGCTCTCTGGGGATCAGGAAGGAATTTTTTCCCTGCAGGAGCAAATTGGATCGTGCTTTGCTGGGTTTTTTTTTGCCTTCCTCTGGATCAACTGTGGGTGTAGGATTATATCCTTTTTTTTTTGCTATGGTTGAACTTGATGGACTTTTGTCTTTTTTCAGCCAGACTAATAATCTAACTATGTAACTAAGTGTTTATGAATGGCATAGGCGATTTACGGAGGAGCGGGAATATGTCTACGATGACGCAAGAGGGTAACTAAATATGCAACGGACAGAGACAAATGTGGAAAATGAAAAGGTTACAGGAAATCTGTTTGCAGAAAAAGACTGAGGCTCTGGCTTGACAAGTGGATTCTCCACCACGACAATTCTCCTGCTCATGTTGTGTTTATATATTTTTGAGTTCCTGGCCAGAAATCCATTCCGAAACATGATCCACCACTTTACTCCCCTGACTTAGCACCTTGCGATTTTTGGCTTTTTCCAAAATTCTATTCCGGACATCCAGTGCGGTACGGCAATGATACTGTGCAATGAGGCTGCACGCACAGTTACAGGGAGCACCAACCTTCATAAGTCAGTTGTGCCAAAAGACATCATCCTGTGTATATCGGGAGCTGTGCAACTGGTGCTATTCTGACCACGGGCGTTACCACATCTGCTATTTCATCATGGTCAGCAAATTAGATCCAAGAGCAAATGTGAAATTAAGGTATGATATCTAAAACATGCATTATATTAAATATGTTTAACCCCTTGACCTCCAGAGGATTTACCCCCCTTAATGACCACGCCTCTTTTTGCTACTCGGCGCTGCACTAATTCAACTGATAATTGCACGGTCATGCAATGCTGCACCCAAACAATATTTACGTCCTTTTTTTCACACAAATAGAGCTTTCTTTCGGTGGTATTTGATCACCTGTGCGCTTTTTATTTTTCACGCTATAAACAAAAAAAGGCCAAAAATTTTGAAGAAAAACAATATTTTTTTACTTTCAGCTATAAAAAATATATAGTAAACTCAAAGTTGGTTATAAATTTAGGCCAAAATGTATTCTGCTCCATGTTTTTGGTAAAAAATCCCAATAAGTGTATATTGATTGCTTTGTGTGAAGTTATAGCGTCTACAAACTATGGTATAGATACTGCAATTTACACCTTTTTTTGCTATACAGCGCTGCGCTAGTTTAACGGACAATTGCGCGGTCATGCAATACGGTACATAAATGAAATTTACATCCTTTTTTTCCCCACAAATTGAGCTTTCTTTCGGTGGTATTTGATCGCCTGTGCGGTTTTTAGTTTTTGCTCTATAAAAAAAAAGGCTGACAATTTTGAGGAAAAAAAACAATATTTTGGACTTTTTTTCTATAAAACATGTCCAGTAAAAAAAAAAATGTAAAAATCAAATTTAGTCATAAATTTCTGCCAAAATGCATTCTGCGACAACCCAATACGTGTAAATTAATTGGTTTGCGTGAAAGTTATAGCGTTTACAAATGGCGGGAAAGATACTGGGATTTTGTTTTTTTTTTATACTAATAATGGCGGCGATCAACGACTTATGGCGGGACTGCAGCGGACATTCTGACATTGGGGGGTACTGAATTGGGGTCACTGACATCCCCAGTGACACCAATACAGTGAATCAGTGCAAAAAAAAAAAACACTGACACTGTACTAATGGCACTGGGGAGGAAGGGTTAAGTTTATTATTCAGGGAAAGGGTTATCTGTGTGAGGGGAGTGTTTTAGTAGGGGGCGGGGGGGGTGTACTGCAGGGAACACCGCTGATCGGGAGAGAGAAACTCTTCTGTCCCGATCAGCATGTCCTGGAGCTGTCAGGGAACTGACAGAAAGCACAGCTACTGCAGCTGTGCTGTCAGCGATTGCCGCCGATCGCCGGGACATAGCCGGTAACGACCGCTGTGACCCTGCGACTCACATCCGCGGCTGTGATCGGCGGGACAGGTAGGGCGGTGGCGAGCCTCGCATACGCCCCCTACCTGTTTACAAAACACACGTTTTAACACACGTGCTTTTGCCCAGCCATGCCGCCCCCTGCCGCCGTATTTATACAGTGGCTGGGCGGCATGTGGTTAATAAACTCTTTTATGACTATTTATGAAACATTTGTTTGCCAAACGTCACACGCATTCATCCAGGCTGCCCATGTTTTCCCCATATTTGATGTAACTTCCTATGATCATCTGCTCCATCTAGTGGCCAAAAGTGGTAATGTTTCTGATTGAGCTGTTTTAGAAGACTATTCCGCATTTTGGCCACTAGATGGAGTTGATGATCATTGAAAGTCATGATATTAAAGAAAACACAAGATTCCTGCAGTGCAGATGAATTCTTGTGACATTCGTTCAACAAACATTTCATGAATTGACCCCTATTTGCGAGCCTTCATCTTTGAACAGATTATCATAGGCCAGGAGAGAAACACATACACTCAGTAGGCATCTAAAAAAAGTAATATATTGTATGTTATTAAAGTGGTTATAAACCCTCACATATCCCCAGTGAAGTGACTGGCCTCAGGTAATACACAGAGATGAAACAAATCCTCTGATATAAGTTGTACCATTTTATCTGTCGTCTTATCTTTCTACAGCCATTTAAAGTCCAGAATTTACACAGGATCTCTCAGTTCTGAAAAGCAGGGGGTGGGGAGTGGACGTTACACTCAGGAGAGCTTTGAAAGGTGATTGGAAGGAAGTGACCCCCTCCCCAAACACACACAGCACACAAAAACAGAGCTGAGGCTGTCAATCGTAGGCTGTGTGCTGGAGCTCCCGCCCCTGTCACCATTTTTCTCTTGGTGTCAGGAAAACTCGGAAGAAGTGACTCATCCAGATAGCAGAGGAAGGAGCAGCAGAGAGAGAAATGACACCTACTGCTCTGGACTGAGACAAGTACACACTGTAGAGGGATAGGCTTTGTTCATATTTCATGTTTGAAACTTTAACTGATCAGATTTTATTTATAAAGCACTGGGGGAGGGGGAGGCTTTAGAAATGACACTGATTAATTCCTTATCCTCGAGAGCTATGATATGATATAATTATTGTTAATTCCATGGCTTTTATTATTTCCCTGCCTTTGGTGTTAAAATGCTGTTATTATGTAATGCGTAATACCTCCATATTCCATATCAATGCAACACGTCGCATCATAAAAATCAAAGCATTCCAGATGGACAAGTGTTAACAGGGAAACATTTTAGCAGACACTGTGATTGTCTGAGTTTTAGGGGATTTTCAGGACTTTACTATATAATGTAATAATATTATAATCTCCTTTTTTTGTTGAACTACTTTAGAGAGATAAAATAATGCCGCGGGATGCCAGCTGGCTTCGGATAACTTGGGGCTGTTTAAGGTGAACCGGTTAAAGTGTTCTTAAACCCCGGACCCCGCATTCACAATATCCTCCCCCCCCCCCGGACCCTGCATTCACACTATATCCGCTCTCGCCGGTCCCCGGACCCTGCATTCACTATATCCGCTCTCTCCCCTCCCCGGACCCTGCATTCACTATATCCGCTCTCCCCCCGGACCCCGCATTCACTATATCTGCTCTCCCCGGACCCCGCATTCACTATATCCGCTCTCCCCGGACCCCCCATTTACTATATCTGGTCTCCCCGGACCCTGCATTCACTATATCTGATCTCCCCGGACCCTACATTCACTATATCCGCTCTCCCCGGACCCCCCATTTACTATATCTGGTACTCCCGGACCCTGCATTCACTATATCCGGTCTCCCCTGGACCCTGCATTCACTATATCCGGTCCTCCCCGGACCCCCCATTTTACTATATCTGGTCTCCCCCGGACCCTGCATGTCACTATATCCGGTCCTCCCCGGACACCT